ATTAGTGCTGTCAAACGATTAATCGCGATTAATCACATCCAAAATAAAAGTTTTTGTTTACATAATATATGTATGTGTACTGTGTATATTTATTATGTATATATAAATACACACACATACAGTATATATTTCGAAAATATTTACATGTATTTACATGTATATATTTATATTATTTATATTACAGATAAATATATTTAATATGTAAACACAACATATTTTTCTTAAATATATACATGTATATGTGTGTATTTATATATACATAATAAATATACACGGTACACACACATATATTATGTAAACAAAAACTTTTATTTTGGATGCGATTAATCGCGATTAATCATTTGAAAGCACTACAAAACACATTTTCATAAATAGTCGTCCAAAGAACCTTTTATTGTGTTTTTTTTTTTTCCTTTATTTTTTGTCACCGACTTTTTCTACAGACCCATATTAAATATTTATTAATAATTTTCATTTCTGTGGCCTATAGATCAGCTGCCTAAGGTTTGTTGTGGTTTAGGGTATTTGTTCTTTCTAAATTCACAGTTTTTTTTTTTGTCTCCTGTGCAGGGTTGGATGGGAGCACATCAGCTTCAGAGAGAGAAAGACTCATCAACCAGTTTAACGACCCGGCAAACAACCAAGCCTGGGTCTTCCTGCTGTCCACCAGGTGAACTTGAGCGCAAAAATATGCCACAAATAGTGACAAAATGATGAGGTCTGGACTAACAGTCTGCTGTATTTGCAGGGCTGGTTGTTTGGGGGTGAATCTGATCGGCGCGAATCGCGTGGTGGTTTTCGACGCATCGTGGAATCCGTGTCACGATGCTCAGGCCGTCTGTCGCGTGTATCGCTATGGCCAGCGCAAGCCTTGCCACATCTATAGGCTGGTGTGTGACTTCACACTGGAGAAGAAGATCTACGACCGGCAGGTGTCCAAGCAGGGCATGTCTGGTAAGAGAGGGTGGAAGGTCTGGGAGTTTTTGTGTCTTCATGCAAACACAATTCTGACATTATGATTGCCTGTTGAACAGATCGAGTCGTGGATGATTTGAACCCTGTCCTCACCTTCAC